TCTGGACTCCCATATATTTGCACTAAGTTTAGTCGGGCACCATTTGCAGTCATCAGCCGACATTTGAAGCCAAAAAAAAAAAAACCAGGTAACAAAAAAAAAAGCCGCGTCGCCGCACCACTTTTGGGGCAAGCTCCATACCAGAAACCGGAGAGTTTTTTTTTTTGGCCTAATGTTAAAAAAAACTTTTTTTTCCCCAATGAGATTAAGCCGATTTTTTTTCAAAGTGCATTTACCTGTTGCAGACAGAGGTATTGTAGGCCTATTGCCGTTCCATTTCTACGAATATCTTATCAATTATTATCTTACTCATGAAATCCAGCAAAATCAGTTCAACTTTGGACAGCAACATGCTACCATTTGCGTTAATCACATTGCGAGGTTAATGTCATCACGCAGGCAGCAGTTAACCTGGATTTTTGTTTCCAAAAGATAATTTTCACAATATCCAAAACTAGTATCCCCAAATAAGTGAGCTTATTTAATAACCAATATGCAAGGGAACGAATTTGGGACTACTTAATTAAGTAAAAAGTTACATTCCTAATACTAAACAATAAACTATTTGCCAGTTTGAACAATGAATTACCAAAATTTACCGAACCATTTTGCAGTGTCTTTTAAAAGCAGTACCACAAACGACAATGTTATTGCGAGCGCCTGCACACACGATTTAAAGGGAAGACACATAATTTGCACTATCATCAAAAAACGAAATGATCAAATTATCACGAAATTGAATTGCTAGGGATGATGGTCTAAAGCATCCTTTGAAATTGTGGCTCCTGGTGTGCTGATATTTTCAAGAAAAAGTGTATTTTTTCCAGCGCTGGTCGGCCGACCAGCGTTGGAGAAAACTGGCTATTTTCAAAAACATTTCCTGATTTTTCATATTTAGTTATTCTGACATTTCTTTGTAATTGATTACACACCTGTATATGGGTACACGCCTGCTAGACTGATTCTCTGACCTTACAAATCCCCAAAGTGTATTAATTGCTCCGTTTCATCTTAAGTGGGGTCAGGGAGCCAGACTACAAGAACATGATAGGTTTTCTTGGTTTTTCCAGCATCTACAAGTCCAAAACGTGAAACAAGTCAGTTTAACAATATTTCTGTAACACACGAATCTTTCAAATCCATTTATTGCTTAAAATTGCAGCAAAAGCAAATGTTGTACATTCCCTTTAAAAAAAGAGAAAATAACAAAATACGTCATTAAAAGAACGGAGGTCAGACAACGCACATCGATGACCTTACTATCCAAGCAAGTTAAATTTGACGCCGTTCGGCTACTGGAACGTTATTACATACAACACGCGACAAGGACCCTTTCAAAATAAAGTGTGCCAGCAACCCGATATTCACCAACAACACCTGACCCGTCCTCTTCAGTATAAAACTTCGTTTTGTTAAGCCCTCAGCATTCCATGTCCCCGACGCCTTCGGATTTTTCTTAATAATCTGTCAATTATTCACAACCATTATCAAATTCAACGCAGGGACGGAGATAGTGCAGACCAAAATAGAAAAAGAAATAAATTAAGGAAACACAAGCTGCGTCAGGGTTATTTTGACATGCGTATCACGTCTGGGAACGTGCTGAGAGATGCGTAAAGCAAAATCTTCAAAACAAGTTCTCCTCGAGTGGTATTTTCCAGTTGCACCCCACCCCTAACAAAATAGGTTTTGTTTTTGCTCGAAATTGCTTACTATTTCGTATTACTTGCGGCTTGACGATAACTATAGGCCTAATACAAGCGTATCTGTGCATAATTGGTGCAAATGCAACCAAAGTGAAGTACAGAGGGTCGAAAACGTCCAACATAGAGATTGAAATAGCCAATTTCCGTTTAAATAACACATAAACAAAGTCGTAGAGGAACAAAAATCGAACATGTTGAAGTGACGAGGAGAGCAACATTAAAAAACCCAACTATTTGTACTTTCAATTTGGATTGTGGCCACTTATACACTTGCTCACTCTTCTTGCTGGCAGACTGCAATGTACTACAAGCATACGCAATGCTGCTTTTTCAAGATTCGAAACCTCCAGGTCTAATAACTTTACTTTCAAATATTTGGACTGGAAAAACTACAAAAGCCGAAGAAGCTCAAAAGACCAAATGCAGCGATACGTAAGTGGACTGTAACGTGTTTTTACCTGAAATTTGAGGTATATTGTGCCAATATATGTTGCCAATAATTATGGTATTTACAATTTTTAAAAAGGCTGATATCATTAATTGCAGGAGTTAATACAACCCCGGTTAAATGGTTTCGCTCGTTAGTCACCGGTAAACCTAAATAACCACTAATCAAACACTTTCGATCTCGGGCTGTGCTCCGTGGTCTTATATGGGTCGATGTGGCCGGCAGCCATAGGCACCTTTACGTGCCAGCGGCCCGACCACGTTGTAGCTGCGTCCTTCGCAATTCAGCATACCAGCTGCGAGTAAGGATGATTAGCCTCCCAAATTATTATTATTATTATAATGACTGAAGTAATATTTCGCTTTTGCGTCATTAAAGTGGGTGTGTTTTTGAAGACCTGCGACTACTTTGACATTCGAAAATTACAGAAACAGCAGCCTGAATGATCTTTAATCTAACTTCCTGCCAGAGAATGACGTACATACATTTTAACGACTACATATGAAGACATATTTTCATACTTTAAATTGGAGGTACCTGGTTATTTGCGTCAGTGACATTTCGATTTCAAATAAAATGCATTGTTTTCCTGCACTTTTGCGACTTCCCTCTCATTTATTTTTACCTTTAAGCATATTCTACCAAAGTGGGAAAAAATGGTTGGTCTTATCATTATTAAAGTCCGTGGAACGTTGGGTGCAATTTGTTTGGCAAGAAAGGTCCTTCCGTACTTTGTCTCTTTTGACTAAACCATTTAGTAAAAAAAAAAAAGACACACATATATCTTTACTAGTTGAAAAAATTAATACATTTCAATAAACTAGCTATTGCGATTAAATAGTATTATGATAAATTTGTTTACAAAATTCCAGTATCATGGGAGTGGAAATAATGGTGGGCTGTGACTTCACATTGAACACCCAATAGGCAGTTCAGATTTTTTTTTTTATAGAGATCAGTGGTCAACTGTTTTCTTCAGTAACTCTTCTAACGGCCAGAGTGAACTGTAACGTGTTATTTCACTTGTTTGACTGTGCCGCGCAAGAAACAGCTATCGACGAAAACCATTGCCTTGGAACAGAAATGTTGACGATGGCTCTGGTTCAGGCTCTGAAATCGAAGCGTCTCCTCGGAACACTTTGACAGGTATTAGCAGAGGATTGTACTGAAGCAGTCTGCAATGATACTCATGATGGAGTTGCCATGCATATGGTGGGCCAACAGTAAAATGAAATATGGATGCGCAAATCCTTTGGACAATCACTATAGTCGTGTTCCCTAACGTGGCGCAATTCGAAGCCTACCCGACTTTCCTCGTGTAGTGTTGCCAAACCTCTTTGTTGACAAACCTCAAATTCATGCAGTAAAATGCTAGTACTTTTACCTTATTAATGCTTGCTATTTAAACTCTGTGAACAATTTCGGTTTCATAAAATTCAATCCGAAATTCAAAAACGGTGGCGTCCGGAAATTGGGCACAAATTGGCAGAGTGTTCCCTAACGTGGCGCACTTAATAAGTCTCGAAAAATTCCAAATTAATATTTAAGAATTTCTGTAAACTTGATAAATTCTGATATATAATTATTATCTCTACTCACATACCAAGCCAGAAGTTTGTCAGAAAATTATGTTCTTATTTTTTGGGGCATTTTCAAAGGGTTCACTTTGCACTTGAAAATAAAATCGGAAAATCACGCCAAAATAACATTGTTCTTCTAACTTTGTTACGGGTAAATAAACTCGCGATTTATGAACAGGAGTGTTTAGAACTTGATGAAATTTCACTTTCTGTAAAATTTCAGTTAAAACTTTTGCTCTAGGTAGGCGCTACAGGCGAAAAATCAAAGTGCGCCACGTTGGGGGCCGCGCCACGTTAGGGTACATCAACAACATATTGGTAACCTCATGCTGTGCAGTCATAGTGTGCAGTCATCAAACAGTAGAGAAACAAACCTTAATATTATAGTGTACAAATTATGGCAAAATACACGTAACTACAAAGGAATGAAGCAGAACATACGATAAATACATACATATGAACACAACCAAATCTCATTTTGACAAACTAACCACTGAGCGTAAATGAAAGACCAGAGGCAATGAAGACTGATAAAAGGTACAATGGACATTTGCAAAACCGTGTTTTTGTGGAACCGAGGCTAGGAACAACAATACAATAAATCTGAAGCAAGTTATTAACAAAATAAGATATCATACTTTTGGAGAAGAAGAAATGTGAAAGGCATCTTCATTTCTCGCAACGTTAACTATAGGTTTTCGCTGAAAGCGTGATCATGGTTTGGTCCTATCCGTTCTGAATTTTAAAAAAAATGACAGTACATTGTAATTCTTTTTTTTCTCAAACATGACAGCATACTAGGCCCAATGATTTGATGTGATGCTTGACGCCATTATTTACTTACAATCAGATGAGAAATTGCTTGATATTTTGACAGTTTCATTTTGAATAGTGACCATTTTACCTTTAAAATTATAAACCGAGAAGTTGATTTATTTTCTAAACTAAACAGGGTTGGTGGTGATTACATTTAAATCAGTCAGATTCTAAATTACAGGCAGCAATCAAACGGGAAGTCAATCACAATTTTTTCCACGAAGCACTGCTGAAAACGTACTTGGCCTTACAGACAAATGGACATTGTGCAAAGGAGAGGTGGACTTCTCGGCTGATGAGCATGAAGCATCTTGCTGTGGCACTGACAGTACTATACATGAAAGCATTAAACGCATGCGGGTTAGTTTCTGCCTTTTCTCTGCGTGCCTTTCTACGTACGTGCGTCAGAAAAGGGAGGAGCCAAAAAAGACGGTGCTTACATAAACCGCGCACGTTTAAATTTTACTCCAATAGTTCTTCTGACTCTCCGGTTGTGTGATATTGCTGTTGATGCATGCAAGACAGCAAATGTAGCCTAAACTAACCTCACGCACGCTGCGAACTACCAGGAGTCGGATGGCCCAGGCATTCTACGGATAATCTACACACGATGTCTGTATCCGCAGTTTGGTGCCTGAGCTTACTGATCGTGAGTTCTGCAGTAACCCACACCACCCGTGCCGTCACTGTGCTGCCTAAGACATGTATGTCGCATCACCAGCCGGGGGACATTGTGCTAGGAGGAATTTTCCCCCTCCGATTTGCAAGCCGGCCAGCGTGTTCCGGCAGGCTCTCACCGTGGGCTGTGCGCCTGGCAGAGGGGATGGTGTTCACGATCAACGAAATCAACCGCCGTGACGATCTTCTGCCCAACGTAACGCTGGGTTACGATCTGCGTGATGACTGTCGATCTGAGGAGGTAGCTATGTGGACGACTCTATCGTTTATCCACAACAGCAGCACGGCCTTCCCGGAGTATCTGGACTGCACACCGGAGACCGTCGGACGAGTCAGTGGGATAGTTGGTACGGGATTCAGCCAGACCAGCATCTTCGTGGCTAAGACGGCATCTCTGTTTCAAGTCCCCGTTGTGTCGTATGCTGCATCCAGCGATGAGCTGAGTGACAATACTGCCTTCCCGTATTTTCTCCGCACCTATCCCCCTGACAGTCTGCAAGTCGATGTCATCCTGGATGTTCTGGTTCACTTCCAGTGGGAATACATCGCTTTGTTGTACTCCTTGACGAGCGATGGGATTCACGGCGCATTCGCCTTGCAGGAACAAGCCGAAGAAATGGGGGTCTGCGTGGCTTTCTTGTCCCCGATGCGCGAATTTCCAACGGACGATGAGCTGGAAGCCATCATTGAGAAACTGCAGACACATAGCAAAGTGGAAGTGGTGGTGCTTTTCGGCGCTAAAAGCGAGGCACAGGCCGTTCTCAGGGCTGTGAAAGAATCCGGAATGAGGCAAATCGTGTGGCTTGGTACAACCCACTGGGGATACCAGTTGCTTGAAGATGATCTAGGAGATGTTGCGGTAGGTGCTTTATTCGTCAGGGACTACAGACCCACAGTGCAGGCATTTGGTGAGTACTACGCTTCGCTGGATCCATCCTCACCCGACACCAGTCCTTGGTTTAAGGAGATGGCAAACGAATGGCTCTTGACTAAAAACTGCTCCCACCTGTCCAAGTGCCCACTCAGTCGCGGCAACACCGAGGGATTGATAATGAACTCGGTCAACGCTTTTGCCTACGCTATGGACACACTTCTGCGACAAAATTGCTCCGAAGGACTTTGCCAGCAAGATAACCTCCAGCAAATGAGCGGAGAATCGCTCTTACATGCGCTGAGGAACGTCCAGTTTAAAGGTCCATACGGCCAAGTTTCTTTTGACTCCAATGGCGACGGGAGAGGCAGGTACGGTGTTTCCAACTGGCAATATCATAACGGCAAGTATAAGATGGAGGACATTGGCGTGTGGGATGCGGTCAACTCGACACACCTGTGGCTCAATGACCATTTGATACAGTGGCCCGGCAACAGCTCCAGCCAGCCTCGGTCCGTGTGTAGAGAAGATTGCTTGCCGGGCTATGCCTTCACCACCCTGCGCCAACGATGCTGCTCAGGCTGCACCAAATGCCTAGACAACAACATTGTCGTCAATGAGACGTTGTGCTCTCCGTGTGAGGAAGCCCACTGGCCGGACAGCGACTTCAAGACCTGCATTCCCATCGTTCCAACCAGACTCCAACTCAGCGACCCTCTGGTGGCTACTGTCTTGAGCCTCTTGATCGTCGGTTTGGCCTGCTGCTTGCTGACCGGCTTTGGTATGGTCGCCAAACGCAAGCACATCTTGATAAAAGCCACGAGCCGCGAGTTGACATGCATCCACATCACTGGACTCATGCTGTCTTACGGAGCTGGCTTGATACTCCTGACAGCATATCCCACCCTTGCGTCCTGCATTGCCTTCGAGTCCTTCATCAGCATCAGTTTCACCATGTCCTACGCTCCCACTCTGCTGAAAGTGCTCAGGATCCATCGGATCTTCAAGAGTGGTCGAGTGACAAACAAACGCCCAAGGTTTACGTCTCCCAAGTCACAGATTGTCATCGTTGTAATCTTTATTGTGGCTCAGGTAAGTACAAAATCTATTTAATTCAAATGTTGTATTAATAGAACAATGTTGAAATAATGCAGCAAAAAAGGAAGGAAAATGAAGTTATAACCTAAGGCCAAAAAAAAAGTCTCCGGTTTCTGGTATGGAGCTTGCCCAAAAAGTGGTGCGGCGACGCGGCTTTTTTTACCTGTTTTTTTTTGCTTCAAATGTCGGCTGATGACTGCAAATGGTGCCCGACTAAACCTAGTGCAAATATATGGGAGTCCGGAGAGGCCACATAAAGCTTATTCTCGATCATAACCCCATCTAAAAACACGTTAAAATTGTGCAGCAGCAGGATTCCAGTCAAACCAGTGAGTTTGGCGGTTTTGAGACATCATCTTTTATTGAAAAAAAAAAAACCTTTTTTCATTTTGCCGACGCGCATGGCTACGGCGACGCGCGCGCATACCAGAAACCGGAGACTTTTTTTTTTGGCCTAAAAATAAAAGTCTGGTTTTCTACAAGCGTCTCCTAAAAAGTGTAATCAAATACGTCAAATATGATCTACACTGACTAAAACCTCTAATTAGAACTTTTAGTTCTCATGACCATAGTCACTTTACATGGTCTACCCGCAAACATCCGTCATCATTGTATTGTACTTTCCAGTTCCACTATGCTATAAAACCCGAAATGTCGTTACTTATGTCAATGGGACGGTTTTTTTTTTCATGCTTTGGTCGACATGGATTGTTCGTTTTATTTCTTTATTCGTTGCAACTGGAAACTGTGTATAAACATAGTTTATGTAGCTCGGATGACAGTTCTCACATTTTCGTTCAGACCAAAAAGGTTAATTGCCTATTTTGTGCTCATTTGATAGAAATCTCGCGAGCCACGTCTTCCTTTTTCACGCGTTGCAAAACAATCTTTGATTGAGATATTTTCTATTTCTCAAATAGTACAAAATTACAAAATGCGCATCTTGCGAGCGACGTTCCTTGTCAATTTGTGTCGAGTCCTCGTATCCGGACGAGGACTACGTCTTTCTCATGGGTGGAAGATCCAGAGCTGAAGAGTCGCATGCTTGAAAGCCCTCGCATAATTGTTTTTTGTCTGCGATTATCTTTTACTAAAATCAGTGGTGAAGCTTTTATAAATTCCAATTGGAGTATACAAGGCTTTCGGACTCTTTGATACAGATAAACGAGAATGACCTACAACAAAATGTCGTGTTGTATCTAATTTAAGAATTCGATCGTGGCATCGACCATCTTTCCATGCCTAATACAATGCCAATGGACCTACTCTGCAAATTACTCACGCAATCACGTGGCGCAGAATGGTTAATTGGTCGAAACGGAGCACGTTACCACGACGTTGCACAAAAACCCTATAAAGTCGACGATTGTCATCCACATTTAATATCCAACCAGTGCCAACAAAACGCTATTAAGTTATTAGACGTGACAGGGTTTACAAAACTCACCCTATTGTCAAAAACGTATGAATTTGTGTACCGCAACTTATTACGATTTTGTAACCAAGTTACTCAATACATGTGTATATGTAGTATTGGGTTAATGTATTATGTATGTATAATAAACATCTATGGATGCATAATAATTGATGGTTTAATGGCGTTTAATGGATTTTATTTTCATCGTTTATATGCAATATAATCATATCCCCCTATAATCAGTTAATGTGGGGAAATTCTTGTCAAGTAAAACGAAACTTAAAAGGATTTCATGTGCATTTTGTTTTTGCAATACATGTATATGTATTTCCCCCTTTTTTAATCAACATTACGTGAAACTCCCATTTGCCAAAACCCCTGAACTGTACCTACCGATTTCACTGTGACTCTTATCAGCTGTTATCAGTAAAGTAATTATAAGATAAACACTTACCCTGGCACCCACTTCCCCAGGGCCAGTGACCATGAGCTGTGGTAATTGCCCTATCAATTACGGCATGCACATCTGGTCTGGCATGGCTGAAGTCGGACCGTTTCTTATTTGATATCTCGAGATATATTTGATCGATTTTTATGATTCAAAGTTGCTCACATAATAACTTTTGACACTTTTCCAAATACTTTACATTATAAACAAGAACCTAGTAGACGTTGGTAGATATTTTTTGTCAGTAAGCTCACAGGCACAGGCACCATACACCACCTGTTCACGGCTCGTTAACTCTTGATCAGATAAGAGAGATCGCGTTGAAAGCTGCTGAATCTGAAATCGGTAGGTACGACCCGAGTTTGTCATAGGCAAACTCGGGTCTAGCTCAAATGGGAGATTCACGTAATGAAGAAAGCCTTAAAATCTTTCCGTTTAATTTTGTTCTTCAGCTTATCATGTCGTTCTTGTCGGCAACGCTCAGCCCCTCCACTCCATACAAGCTGTACACACTAGACATGGGCAACTACAGCGAGATCTACTGCGCCTTTGGCTACGGCTTCCTGGCGCCTTGCCTCCTCAACCTGGCCATCATCACGGCTTGCTGCTACTTCGCATTCCGCGCACGCAAGGTACCAGACAACTACAACGAGTCCCGCTTCATCGGCATCAGCGTGTACACCACGCTGGTGCTGTGCCTAGCGGCTATCCCGGTCTATACGACAACCAACCGGGTCCTGCCCAAAGTGGCTACCATCAGCCTAGCCGTAACCCTCAACTCCTACCTTTCGCTGGTATGCCTGTATCTCTCCAAGCTCTACGTCATCGTCTGCGGGTATAAAGTCCAGCCGAGTACCAACCGCGGTTCCTTCACGTTACAGAATGCCGCTTCGACCTCCGCGTTCGCAGCGACCACATCCAATGTGCGTCAACCGGTCATGTCCGCCTGGGGCAGCGAGTCCACTCACGGCCTTAACCCGATGATGGCATACGGCGCGAGCACTTCCGAATCCAATAAGGCTTAGGCAAACCCCATCCAGCCCACAATACAATTACACAATGCACTCTGGTGCACTTTTACAGACACTTTCCGCACTTCCGGATCGCGCAACCCCGTCTCATCCTTCCGAGAAAAATATCAACAATTGGGTTGTCTCACGCAAGAACGGTCTAATGAATCAATGAAGTTCTAAATTGTGAGAGAAATAACGGCCACCAAAAATATCATGGGAGAAATATCAACGGACTCAACCCTGAGGGCATGTGTCTACTAATTCACTGTATCTTTTTGAAATGTTTCCAATGCACTCCTTCTGTTGCAATGAAGTTGGAACTTCACCCACATACCTTAACAAAAGTACATGTACAATACATGTGGATAGAAAGAATTTAACCCGAATTCGGATACCCGAAGCACCATTGATGTAATTCAATACAGTTTGATAAGATTCACTGTGAACACAATGTCGTACAAAAGGCAGAGAAAATACCACGGGGTTTCAAAACCACTGCATTAAATTAATGTTTCCCGCGCCTCTTTCCATCTCACACGACCGAGGCATTTTACAGGCAAGTTGCGCCAGACAGTCTCCAAAAATCTCCCTGTAATGTTTTGTGGGATTTCCACAAAGTGTTTGATAAAAATGCAGCCGGGGGTCCTTAATAGCTTGCAGTGCATTATTTGCTGCCAAATTCAAATTCCCTGATGTGACTTTGCCCCTAAGCATTAATAAGAAACAATCCTTTTCACCGAATCTCATGAAAATACACACCTAATGTTTAGTCGTGATTCAATAAGACGCCTGTCCCTCGTGATACCAGCCCATAAAGCTCACGATGACTCTCTTCAATCACGCATCGCTCCATCGACCACCAGATATGGTGAGTGGTAATGCAACGTCACGACAGAATCGCTCGTTCAGTCGCCGTTTTGGCTGCAAAGCTGGCAATTTGTAAGCGTATGCAAGATTTTACGACTTTATTCACTCAAACTGATTGTCAAGGGAGTCTGTGGCTAGACTAGTCAGTTTGGCACAATTACGTTCACATAAAACGTATACGGGAACGGTGCGCACGCCAATTTCATAGAGCTGCTTAAGCACAAGAAAACTTTGCTTAATATAATTAGATTAACCACGAGCACTCCATGCGATTGTTATGCTAAGCAAAAAAAACAGCTAAATACAGTCACAAGCAACGGACATCGCATGGCGTTTTGGCCGGTATCCTGATGATATTAAGCAAGGTTTTTGTTGTGCTTTAAGCACATTTTGTGCTTAAGCAGCTCTATGAAATTGGCCCCAGCTGCAGCAGATAATAGACCTAAAATTGCCTACGCCGGCGGCCCGGCAGAATCTATTTGTATTCTGTCCTTTTGTTTCTATTAATAATGATTTGTGGTCCTTGCACAAATTGTAGAAATAAAGGGTCCAAGATGCAAACCGGTCTTTGAACTTCAGTTTCTGAGAAAATTGTTACGAGATTTGTAAATCGCTCTATATTGCAATGATGTGGCGGGGTCGTTTTTCGAAATGACGATGGGCTTCAGGACTGTTGCTTATATAGGTTGATCGTTTTAGAGGAAAAAGTTAACCAGAAGTTATCATTGGTAAACCCTCCAAAATAATTGAACAGAAAGTGAAAGATGGTACATTAAGCTTGAATTTGATGTGCCTTGTTGACATGTTCGAGTTGTGAGGTCCCCCCCCCCCCCCCGATGTTTTGAAGTTAAGTTTTTTATCATTGGTGCCTATGGGAATTTATTTACTGGTCTGCACCCTTACGTAAACTGGCGAGACTTGCCCACTCTATATTGATCGCGATGCTGGCAAAAATTCCAGCAATGAGCCATGTTTGAAAAACAACACTCCTGCGTCAATACATTACTTTCCGTCCCAACAACATCAACCTTATAAATGCACATCGGGAATTTGTTGGGGCTACAGAGCATTGATTTGGTATCACACACGGCGTTTGGAACGCAACTCTATGCGTCAATCAATAAACGTTCATTCTGGTAAATAAATTATTTTGGGTCGTGTGGTTTTGTTCTTTTCATGCATTGTGGGTTAAAGATCATTGAAAAATGGCTCCGCGTGGATGCAATAAGAAAGGCAGACGAGATCTTGTGGAAAACGGACGGAATGCGATTTCTGTCAATCTATGTGCATTTGGGATTACTGGTGCACACACAAAAACAAAACCCAATGGTTGAATGATATGTTACAATAACCAAATTTGTAAAATTCTTAACAATGTACTGATGTGATTTAAGTCTGCTTATTTACTGAATGTACTTATTAATGTGCTGATGTTGATTGTTGCTATATTTGTTTTACTGGATTTATCCGACTAAAAACACTTGAAACAGTAATCATTTGTATTCAATCAAAATAGAAACAAAGTAGTTTGAGAGAAATCTAACAAAACTATTTTTACAGAAAAAAGAACGATATTTTCTCACATAACATTTTAAATTTTCTTAAAGAGACGATATTTTTGTGTGTGATGACTTGTAAAGTTACTGCTTATTAAAGTTACCGCATTATTGCATTGCCTAAAGCAACACTTAAATTGCGGAATTCGATTGGTAAGTAATTATAATTCTAAAATGGTCTTCTTTTGGTGACGTAAGAAAAAAATCACTTTCATCAATTTTTTTTTAAAAATATTGATAAGTCCGGTATTTGCAAAACACTAACTAAAATAGTGCTAAAATTTTCCTATAATCGCATACGTGTGTGAAGTACATGTAAGTGTCTGGTTACTGATGCACTTGTACATCGTGAACAAATATTAGCACGATTTAAACAACGCTGAATTGTATTTTGTATTTAATTGGATTGTTAATGTATATTGATGTATACATCCCACACTTTAATGCAGGGCAGAGACCCATACACATTATTCTGAGGGAAAGGGTGGGGAGGGGGGGGGGGAGAGAGATATCAGCATGACGTTTGTTCGATAATAATATTAATTTGAGAAAGGTTTATAAGATCCTATGGATATGTTAATTCTTTGCTTTTTTGGTTGTTGGGTTGTCTGGGAATTGTCTAGTTGATTGAAATAAATGTTATAAGCCCAAATGACCCATCGCACTGTTTGCCTTACTATGTAGAATGTGCAGAGCACCAAACACATATCGGTAATGTGAGGAGATGAAGCTCACGTAAGTTATTGAGTCACCTGTTGAATGTCAACTCACTGGAATACCATACTGTACTTTTCGAGATAACAGTGAACAATCATGCGTTATTCCTCCATCATGTATCCCGTGTCTTTTCTTACATGTAGATGGCCTTTTCAAGCTGGCTGGCAAGGGGTTAGCAAAAGGTTTTACCGAACGTACTCTTACTTCCAAAAAGTGAACAATCACTCTATTCGAGGGAAAATCGACTCTCATCGATTGAAACTAGGAGCCAGACGCTTTAGAGTGAAATTCATTCCATCGAAAAGATGGAGTTCACACTCGAGTTTCCAAGGAAGCGATTCTTCTTTTTTTTTTTCAGATAAGAGTAGTTTAATCTAAAACTAGAGTGATTTTCACTCGAAATCGTCTAGAGTCACTCTTTGGAATATAATGATAAGAGAGATAGGTAGATTAATAAAATGGATCCAACAGTAGGCTATAGCTAGTGCCGGTCCGAAGCCGTGCGTGAATGGCTTGGCTATACGGCCGGCAGCGACAGTCGTGTTCATGAGAATTGGATTCCCCCACTCATAACGGTTTCTGGCCGTATGGACAAGTAATTCAGACGTGGCTAAACCTAACCTACGTTGATGTACCGTTGTTACACCCGAGTTAACTGCTATTTCCGGACAGAGAAAGGTCATTTTCGACGGAAACAAATCAGGGGAATAATTCAGTCACCTGACGCCAGTGTGCTCACAACCGTCAATGATGGTCATCGAGTTGAAAAATACATGAATATAGGACTGAGAAACAAGTCCAAGTCTGTTAGAAAACACTTGGCATCATTAAACTAAATTTCCGAAACATTTGTACGTCTTGTGTTGTATCAGCCATTTCGTTGCACCGTCTAATGTATTATCAATATTTTGGTAGGTTCTTTTGACCGATGAGATGTAAGTCATTTGATAACATGAAATGCAATCATCTCAACGTACAGACCAACTAAACCTGCTCCAACTCCATGTGTTCTAGACGAATCCGGACATGTGTCATCACTGTAAACTCGAGAGGCCCCCTTCAATGGAGAAACCACGTGTCAGCTTTTGCGCAAAGCTTCTGCCCTCCCACATGACGAATTATCTGAACAGCCAGCAGAATGGTTTCGCCATTGAAGGGGGCCTTCGTGATAGCGTGCCCGAATTGGTCAATAACCAGCCAATGCACAGTGTTTACTGCTTCGATGTGAAATATCGATTGAATGACATGTTACAATAACCAAATTTGTAAAATTCTTAACAATGTACTAATGTTATTTATGTCTGCATATTTACTGAATGTACTTATTAACGTGCTGATGTTGATTGTTGCTATATTTGTTTTACTGGATTGATCCGACTAAAAACACTTGAAACAGTAATATTTTGTATTCAATCAAAATAGAAACAAAGTAGTTTGAGAGAAATCTAGCCAAACTATTTTTACCGAAAAAAGAACGACATTTTCTCACATAACATTTCTGAAACTAAAGTTTCTTGAAGAGCCGATATTTTTGTGTGTGATGACTTGTAAAGTTACTGTTTATTAAAGTTACCGCTAATTCAAATTATTGCATTGCCTAAAGCAACACTTAAATTGCGGAATTCGATTTGTAAGTAATTATAATTCTAAAATGGTCTTCTTTTGGTGACGTAAAAAAAAATCACTTTCATCAATATATTTTTTAAAATATTGATAAGTCCAGTATTTGCAAAACACGGACTAAAATATTGCTAAAATATTCCTATAATCGCATACGTGTGTGAAGTACATGTAAATGTCTGGTTACTGATGCACTTGTACATCGTGAACAAAATATATTAGCACGATTTAAACAACGCTGAATTGTATTATATATTTAATTGGATTGTTAATGTATATTGATGTATACATCCCACACTTTAATGCAGGGCAGAGACCCATACAAATTATTCCCGAGGGGGGGGGGGGGGGGATAACAGCATGACGTTTGTTAGATAACAATATTAATTTGAGAAAGGTTTATAAGATCCTATGGATATGTTAATTCTTTGCTTTTTTGGTTGTTGGGTTGTCTGGGAATTGTCTAGTTGATTGAAATAAATGTTATAAGCCCAAATGACCATCGCACTGTTTGCCTTACTATGTAGAATGTGCAGAGCACCAAACACATATCGGTAATGTGAGAAGATGAAGCTCACGTAAGTTGTTGAGTCATCTGTTGAATGTCAACTCACTGGAATACCACACTGTACTTTTCGAGATAACAGTGAACAATCATGCGTTATTCCTCCATCATGTATCCCGTGTCTTTTCTTACATGTAGATGGCCATTTCGTTGCACCGTCTAATGTATTATCAATATTTTGGTAGGTTCTTTTGACCGATGAGATTTAAAAGTCATTTGATAACATGAAATGCAATCATCTCAACGTACAGACCAACTAAACCTGCTTCAACTCTATGTGTTCTAGACGAATCCGGACATGTGTCATCACTGTACGCTCAAGAGGCCCCCTTCAATGGAGAAACCACGTGTCAGCTTTTGCGCAAAGCTTCTGCCCTCCCACATGACGAATTATCTGACCAGCCAGCAGAATGGTTTCGCCATTCAAGGGGGCCTTCGTGATAGCGTGCCCGAATTGGTTAATATCCAGCCAATGCACAGTGTTTACTGCTTCGATGTGAAATAAAACACTGCATGTACACGATCTCTTGTGATGCTTCTTTTTGTGATATCATTATTTTATCCATGTGTGTTGTCTTCTCTTTTTGAAACCAAATAATGTTATATTTTCAATTGAACGCTGATCGCCACATGAGACGAATTTACCGAATTTAGGACGCATCAGAATGCTACAAATTTGAATTATACTGCACCTTAAATGGAATCCATTGTGGATTTTTGAAATTGAAACTGAGAATAGAGCTCGACGATGTTTGGGGACGAAATTAAAGAATCGTTATAGGGAACTGGGAAAACCTATACTAAATTTTGGGCACCACATGTAGTTTATTATAATTTTTTTAACAAATGAAATTGATGATTGAGGCGAAACAATCAGGACCGCTGAAACACATTACGTTTAGGCTTCACATCACATTTATAGATAATTGTGATATTTTATTTAAAGGAAAAACACAGGCATACAGTACATTGATAATTGACCAATCGCGGTAGAATTGCGTCAACGCAGCTTGTGAAATATTGTCACATTATACAAACGGACGCGGAACGCGCAAAATCATTCCATTGCACTCTATATTATTATGCTATCTGCGCTGCGCGAGCACGCAGGCCGAGTGCCCTAACACAGACAGGACAATTCATTGTTCTGTCCAAACCACATCAGATTATTTCGTCCAATTTCTGGTACAATTATCAAATTCTCAAAAAGAACAGCGCGTGTGAACCAGCAAATAGAGGAAGTGTTCGAGACCGCCAAAGTGACATCGCCACGCGTCATTATGTATTCATTTACCATCCATCACTTGTCTTCGTACAATTACTGTTCCCAGACTGCCCACTCAGTCCGTATCCCAGCAACTACTTCAACAACTCAATTGGCTGGCTATACAGTGTTGTCTGATTGGACACCCTGTCAATTTCCTTTAAAGATAATGGATACCATTCGCAAAGCTAACGTTGTTTCGGCCGATACAAAGATGCACCATACGATGAATCTGAAGCAGGTTATTAAAACACTAACCTGTGGAAATTTCAGCTCAGTAAATATCATACTTTGAAAAAACTGTGAAAATACATCTTTACTTTTCTCGACGTAGGCAATGTTTCCGAAAAGCCCTACCTTCCAAAAAAAAGGCCTATGATCTCCAGTTTCTCACTCGGGAAAATTATTCTCATTCAAGGATTTGCAACCGACTGCAAACTAAACTAAATTTGGTCAATTTGAGACAGTTTTCGAGAAAACAAACGGAAAAATGTTTTTTTTCTTGTTACGGCTTGGTTCTATTACCGCGAGGAAATCATGGCAAATCCTCTTTACTAAACAATGACAGCATTCTAGGTGCAATGATTTCACAGGATGCTTAATCCTATTATTTACAATCAAGTGCAATATTTCATGATATTTTGACAGTTCCATTTGCAAAAGGTGTCCATTACCTGTAAAGGACTCCGTACTAAAGCGAACTCTCGTATTCAACCAATCAATCTTTTTTTCCTCTCAGTTTACAGGCGTCGAGAGTCTTCTGTCTGGCTTTCATCGTGTTTGCTTCGAATCGCTGAATGTGTAACACACCAGACGCTATGAAGAGTCTTTCCTCCTCTTCTTGTGTCTGTGAAACGGAAAGAAAAAAAGAGTGAAAAAACCTCAAAATACCAAAGGGCAACAGACTGCAGAGAAGCCATGCCCGAATATCGGCTACATATACGTTTAGAAAAAGGCCGTGCCTGAATGTCGTGAATCACTGTAAGCTGTTATAACAGGTGTTTGAGAGGTTCCTTTATTATATTCAGAGAAGATATTATATGAACAAAAAAGATTGCCACAGTCAACAATGAGAAATGTCAACAATAGTACTACACCTGTTTAGTTTAGTAATTGAATCAAAAAGCCAATTTTAGCTAACATGTTCAACTTTGAATGGTGCAAACAAGTATTGTGTTACATAATAACCTTTACTAGGAAAACCGGTGAACCGAATCCGATGGAAATTTTAAAGAAAATAGTGCAATAAGTATGCTTCTCAATTCTCAAATAACGTCTCATTTTACATTTTGCTACAACCCTAAGAGGGGCATTTGGAGGGGGGGGGGGGGGGCACCCTGATTCAAACATGGAATGGAGTTAAATGGACTATTTCACGTTAATGGCCTTTGTTTTAAACCCACTGAATGAACCGAATCCCCAAAAAACGTTCACACAAAAAAGAAAAACGTTTGGGCTCATCATTTCTTTAATTGAATGTGATTCCCCCCCCCCCCCATAAATTACGAAAATTCTGTATGCACCCTCCTGAGGGTCATTGTTTTTGGGAAACCCTGCACAGCGCACAATGGCCAATGAGCTATCCACTTTTTTAACATGGAGATCAGTGATACTATGGGCACCGTGCGCCAACAACAGAGGGCGCGTTTTACCACTTTTGAGAGCCCCTTGGACGGGACACCGCGTGTGCGCACTGTACTGGTTCGCGCGCGAAGTACGCACGACTTATTTATCCTTAAGTATGTGCACAAAGCTAAGCCATAGCGTCTTCGAGTTTACTTGCGATGGTCTCCCAGACTAATCCCCGCCCCCAATAACTTTGGATCATTCGAAACACGCAGTGGACCGGGAACCAGTCTAGGTCTCCCCAACACCCCTTTTCTGGCCGTTGAAGGGGTACTTGTGCACGGTGCCCATACAGAGCCGTTTGATTGGTTCATTATAGACGAGTCCAGGCACGTGATCACTGTACACTCACGAGGCCCCCTTCAATGGAGAAACCACGGTGCACGCTATTGTACGAAGCAACTGCCCCGAGACGGATTATCTGAACAATAGCTAGTACGTGAAGGGGGCCTCCATGATAGAACTGATAGCGTGCACGAATTGGTCTATATCTACCCCATCATGTAACTGTCAAGCAGCAGGTGTTTTATTTTCAGGTTAGGAAAATCAACTTGTAGTTTGCAAATCGCAAACATAGGCCTACACGACAACCGCCAGAAACGGGACGCATTCCAAAGTGGGTGTATGTACATTGTATATGTGTGCCAAGTATGTAAAATGCACTTAACCAGCGATTTCTACTCCAGAAGACGAATCAAATCAATCATCAACAAGCATCTTAAATCTCGGAATGAAATGTCATCCCGGTTTATTTCCTACTATTACATCTCGTAGGCTTTTCCAAAGGGAATCCAGGCAGATTTTAGGCTTACGCTGTACCTAATGCGTACAGTATAATTGGGAAAAAAGCAAGTTGAAACCTAATAAAGTTGTTTTCACTGATTGTTCGGTTCCGTTTAAAGGCGATACGAGCAATATTAACCTGGTCAGGAACAACTGGCCAGATTGCCCGTTAAAATCCAGTGGGATTTGCTCATCCTGAAAAGTGATACATGTACTCTAACCACACGTGATGCACGTTAGCACCACACCACACGTGGGAGAAGATGGCCGCCGCACAGGGATACCGCACATAGGGCTGCCGTGTCGACTAGGGAATGCTAATGGAAAACTTCTGAAACTCCTATATAAATAGTTGGAAATTCGAACTGGTGGCCTAGTTGACACTAGGTGGCGCTGTTCATGGTAAAAACTTAGATAAAAACAGTGTGTAATAATATGCGACGTTGCCTACGTGCTCAAAGTGACAAGTGTTATTCACTTTTCCCAGAACTAAGTTTACTTCTCCCTTGTATAAGAATACAAAATGATCAGGTTTTTTTTGGAGCAGATCAATCTGGTGGTGGTTGATACAATAGTCCATCCCATAGCGCGGAGTGATAAACATGACTCCTCCCCCAGGGTGTACAGAATGGGGTAACTTCGGTCATTTTTTAGACATATTTAACTATTGCTTTTGATAATGAACTTGGTGAATTGGATTTTTCTCTAATATTTAGAACATTTACACTAACTCTACACTTTGGTGCTGGTTGGTGTCAAAACAGTGTAATTTAACAAGGTGGTGGGGCCCAATATATGATGTGACCAAAGTAACCTTCGTTTTGGGGCAACGTTGGCCAGCCCTCATAATTCCTATGGACAAACACTGTCAATTTTTTAAATTGTTTTTTTTTTCCCAGGTGAAGAGTAGATAATATTTACATTTGACCCTAGATTAAAAAAAAAAACCTTTTCACCCAAAGGCCTCCTTAATGCCATTTGACCTTTAACCTTCTTGTTCCTTGACCTCTGACCTTTGACTTCTTAGAATTTGACCTAACACAATTATCCACTTCAAATCCCCAAGTGCATTAAATTTGCAGTGACATTTTCTGAAACTAATCATGAAAAATTTACTGAAGAAATCTTGTTTTATAGAGATTTATATTCACTTGTAACTAAAATATAGGTGCCGACCAAAGTTAATACCCCGCTGACCAAAGTTACTCCGTCTTACGGGTACCCATTGGCAAACAAGTGATGCTGTGGAAGGCTTGCGCACTCCCCTCCACTCCACCCCCCCCCCCCTCCCGACAATTACCATTTTGAGCTGAGATCACAAGATGATATTTGCGAAATGAGATTGGGAACATAACGAATGCACTGTTATGAAGAAAGGAAGGACGCGTAGGTAATAATAACAACGGTATCGCCTTACAAAGAAAAGCCTTGAATGCAGGCACAATCAACTACCCATGCTGATTAGATTGCTCAATCCAATCCTTTTTCTCCCAATGAACCGAAAATATGAAGAACAAATAACTCCCGAAAATATGTTCCCGCATATTCATTTCTGTATTTTTTTCTGCTAGATTCGGTTGATTTCTCTAACGCCCAAAATCGTTAAAAGAGCGGTGCACGCACTGTGCCCTACATCAGCTTTGCAAAGCAGGATTTGTTTTGAAACGCGTGTTTTGTAATTTTCCATGTTCAGATTCTCGGCGCCTTTTTATTGCTTCGTACTAGTAAAATTATAAGAATAATAAACACAAATGTTTTGACCAGGAGGAACACCTGCCCATTCAGGCCAACTTGATTTCGCATCTCTGTTGTGTATTGCCTCGCTTTTCGTCTCTGTCAATCTGGCATTTCTGAAGAGTACATCCTCCTTTTACATTAACGCGTTTCTTGTTCGTTTTTGTCGGCCAATGAACCTAACGGTCTCAATGCAAAACAGACACCCAAACGGAGTGAAAACGCGTCGGTGCCATCTATATTTGGGTTCCAAAGCAAAGACGCTCTGGATCTGTGCCATCTGTGCACATTATAAGCCAACCCTGAGCGCGCAGGCGGAGTCTTCTCGTGAGTGGTGTTCTGACCCGTAATGTACCGACATGAAATGGAATATTTTTGTTCCGTAACGTAACAACCGAACCGACCTGAAATGTGATAATTCTGATCCCTAACGTAATACAAAACATATTTGCAAAGCCACGCCGTATGCGACTTATGGACTTACTGACGCCGTGCAGTAGATGACGCTTTGTCAACACTTTCACATGCCCCATGAGGGGGGGGGGGGGAGGGAGACACACATCCTACTACGCGATGTAAGCACGACTTTTTATTCTGAATGTGCACAGAACTGTGGCGTCTTCGCGTGATCGACAGGCGCGCGTCAGCAATGCGTTGGAATGTCCCTCCCAGTGCTCTCCCCCAACTCTCCCTATGTAACCTTTGAGGGTAGTCTACTTGTGCACGAGGTCCATAGCTTGGAAGAATTTGCTAATGCGCACACTATGCGCTTCTTTACTTGTACTAGTCTTTGTACATGTAGCTATAGGTTAAGTTTGTCTATGGCGTTCGGTGATAATGGACAGCACTTTGTTTTCACTGTGAGGGATTAAATGACTCGGAACATTTGGAAGATGCGAAGAACATGTACGCTATGCGTCCCAGGGTTGAGATAATATGAAATTCGTCAAAAGATTCCCCCTTAAATGCTGGCAAATTCATTTTTACCGATTTGGTTATTTTATTATGGTAAAAAAATATTAAATTTCAGGTTGCTTTGGTTATTAGGCCTACATAATGGGAAAAAATAATATTGTTATATCCCATCTTGAGTACTATAATTACATTGGTCAAGAAAGGTCGCATGTCCAGTCTATAAAAATGACGGTTTACTTCAATATGCAGCTGGGTTGCATATAAATCACCTCATTATACAAGGCGTTGCGTATAAATTATGTTATACACCACTTTGCATATAAATTACCCCGCAGACGCTGTCTTGCGCACCCGCGGGAATTAAAGGTACAGTCCATCATTTGTAATATGTGCATTTTGTTTGTTTGAAGCAACAAACGTGCTCAAAATCTAAAGAAGGGTGCTGAACAACTAACCTGATGAAGTTCAAGCTCAGCTTCAGCTGTATATTTCAAGAAAAGTAACATTCTAGGATCTCGATTTCAAATCAAAAGTTGCTGAATCATATTTTGAATTGGGCCTGAATTCAGCGTCCGAGACATGTTCTCACTGAGCCGATTGCACCTACGAGATGTCGCGCACTGATCCGACGAATTAGCAAACGTGCACACGTGTGCGTCGTGCCAACGCTTGCGCGCGCTTCGCCGAAATTTCCAACGGTGCTTCTTAAGACGCACTGTTGGAAAGGCCTTCTTTCCTTGATTTCTTCAAAATGACAGCTTGCCAGAAAGAATAATTTCACAGGGAGTATAGTCCCCTTACTATCTTTCAACCTAGTATGTTTTTGAACAATAATTACGTCAGTTACTTTTTGGATAGCTGCAAAATAATAATGATGGACTGTAGCTTTAAGGAGTGAATAGGGGCAACAGGGTAAACAATTCCCAAAGGTCCACAATTGACGATCGTGTACAAAAAAATATGGAAGGTCATCCTAAAAAGTTAAAGTACAACCAAAACAGGGACGAAAGGGGGTCCGCGATTGCAGGTACGTCCTGTGTGCGTGTGTAGGGCCCCCGCGCCGCGTAACGGAGAACACCGACCTCTCAATACCATGTCTTGCAGGTAAACGCACTAATCAAAGGTTTACACTGCAGTGAACTGTGTTTCTTGAATAGTTAGTTAAAAACCTTTATGTTATTGGCACGATAAAAAACACCAATTGTTGACTACTGTGATGTTTGATATGTCGTTTTTAACACCCTTGGTGCACATACCACCCTCGTCCTCGGGTGCTATAATTGTTAATTATTATACCATTCAGGGCAATATTACATTACAGGACAATTATTACTGGTGACAACAAACGGTCACCGATCGCCATCTGTTGTCCAACACGGAGCCCATACACCGACGAATCTTGCCAAGTCTTGCTCTTACCTGAACACTTTATTAAACTGCTCGGGACAGTCTCTCCTCTTGTGGTCCAAGGAGCCGCATATATGGCAGCCGACTTTGTCCTTCTGCCGGTCGCACTGGTGGTCCGGTAACGCGCACTGCTGGCAGGACTGGCAATGGACGTAAACTGTCAGGAAAATAAACAAACAGCTTCATATTAATAGATGTTATTGCATGAACATTAACATGGAACCCAAAGGTTAGGGTATTTTGTGGGAAACAGTGGAGAGAAGTAGGAGAATTGTGGGTGATATAGCACCAAGTATCCCAAAGTCACCTCGCCCCCACTACCCTAGCTCCCAAGTCCCAACTTAGTTTAACTAATGCGCCTTCAAAGTGTCTCCCCCCCCCCCCCCCCCCGCTGCCTCAGGACAGATGTGGGGGTTTGGTCATGTTTTTCATGCCCCAGGGTGGGGATTTTGTTCACTCAAAAACAGTATTACCACTGGCGTACTTCATGGAAAGGCGATCACCAGTGCGCCCCACGTATGTATGTCGGAGATTTTGCCCAAGGGGTGCCTTTTGTCACTTCAAAAGTGACAAATCCCCACGTCTTGGGTGGGGCAGCCTGGGGAGGGGGGGGGAACAATAGGCACATAAGTAGAAGACCATGTCCCTGTAAATCCATCACTCACCCTGCTTCACATAATGTTTCAGGGTCAAATCTGTTGCAATCCACCACTGGTATAATGGGGAATTTAGATGGACTTGGTATACACAAGGCACATCTGCCCAAATCCCCCCAAATGGGGGGGGGGGGGGGGGGGGGGGGGTTGATGGCGTTGGTAAGGTCCATGGTTTTGTTTTCGTTTTCCTTTACTTTAGAAGAGCAAAGCCTGAGACAGCAATTATTGTCGTGTTTTGTAGTCCTCCTCGTCTGTAACAAAACTAATGAACTACTTTTTCAGACAAACTCGGCTATACAGATTTTTCAACTGTTTGTAACTGAAAAAGGACAAACAAACAACAAACAACAAACCAACAAAGTAACACCCCAACACCCCAACAAGTTTTTACAACCCAACAAACAAACGACTCAACACCCCAACACACCCGCTTAAAACACAGTGACGCCACTGTCGGTTTGGATACGTTCAGAACATGCGCAAGTAAACGTGCAATTCAACTGCCCTTGGGATCGTACGATAAACAAAATCCTGAACCCCCCCCCCCCAAAAAAAAAATAATAATAATAACAATATTCAAGAACAGAGTGTCCTTATTTTCTGAAAATTTCGTTGCCAATTTACTGCCGGCTATTTCCAAATGCGGCCCTTAATCCACACGTAGATTCGAAAGATAAAGAACAGATGCCACGGGAGGAGATAATCCAGATAAGAAGTTCACTTGGAAACCATGGAAACGATGGTAATAATACCTATAATTGAAAAATGAATGGAAAGGCTTTTGACATCACGTCTATGTTTTGGTGTCAACTGTGTTTTAGCAGAAAAGCTATGAAAGTAACAATAGAGGATTATGGCGTTGAAATCTACGGTGAATAGAAATCTATAGTTTGAGGCAAAAACGTGTTTTCCATAGGGGCAGATAAAGGGATATTGTCAGTTCTGAAGAAGTGGCTTTTTGTTTTCGTTGTAAGAGTGTCAGATTAAAGTTTCACGTAAAGATGGACCCGTTGCCAATAACATATTCCCTTATGGGCGAAGAGGACGAGACGGAGATTATCAATAACACTTTGCCAAGCACGGAAAGGTTTCCTAAAACACGTCAAACACTTTAAAGAAACGCGTTGTCAATAACACGCTCGTTTAGCAATTCAAACGCTTTGATGAAACGGATCCCAGGGTGTACTGATTACACAAAGGATATTCTCGTTAAACAACATAAACAGATGGGCAGAATTGTACTGCGTAGACCGTTTGACTTCATCTGAAGTCTTTCGGACCCCTGTGACTCAAACGGACCCCTGTGACTCAAAATGGAAGTATACCACCTGAGCACATTAATGTACAAGGTAATGAATGGCACTGCTCCAACCTATCTAGCTAATCAATTCACACTGGTTAAACAGATCCACACCTATCACGCAAGACACTCTGATGGGCAGAATGTCCGCCTACCTCGACCACGCACTGGCACAGGCAAACATGCATTCAGTTTCACTGCGACAAAAGCATGGAACGAATTGAAAACTGACACCAAGATGGCCAAAGATCCGTCCACTTTTAAACGTCTATACTGGGCATCTCAGTTGAAATAACTACTTTTGAAGTAATGTAAGTGTTTTTGTTCTACTAAAGGTGGTTCTGTTTTCTATGAATTAAGGTCTTATTTTTAAACCAAGTGTCTCTCATTTTATCGTTTTATGGGGACTTACTTCGCATACATATACGTTTCTCTTTTTTATCAATCTGTAAATGGAATTCAAATCTTTGCTTGTAATATGTAATTTTCACTTGGTATATGTACAGTATCTTCTAATATTAATTTTAAAATCCATGAATGTATTTTTTAATAACTAACTAGTTTTTAATGTCCTGTAATTTGTATTGTTTTAAATTTTTTAATCCAGGGCCCCCAGGGAAAACAGTTCTTAGATAACTGATGGGGCTACCCTGGTAAAATAAAACGATAAATGTATAAATAAATATAACGCCATGTCACTAGAACGTTTACTTAGCAATTCAAACGCTTTGATGAAACGCCAGGAATAGAACGTTCATTTGACAATTCAAACGCCAGTGTATTAAACGCCAGCTCAATGGCACGCGTTCAAACTTTCGAGTGAAGGTCGTTGAGATACAGAAAGCACAACGCAATAACGAATTATCACCACGCTTCTGCGTGATGTGTTTGCTTGTACAACACGAAACTGTCTTGCTATAGTACATTGACGACGACTCCAATGCACACAGAGCACTCCAGGCAGTAAAGGACGACTCAAAATCTCCATCTGAAATTCTAAACTGCTGGTACACGGAAGACCGCTGGAAGGAAAAACAACGACAGCTACGTCGCATCGGCTTGACCGTTTGCATGAAAAAGATCAAGGGATCAGAGAGTGCAGATGTCATGGCAGATAGATTTTTTTAAAGAGCTTATCGACGAAGTCAGAATACGAGAATACTCAAATTACTAGCATTCTCTTCATAGCAGAGATATACACGAAGAGGGTATTACTTCTGTTTTTCGGTTTCGGCCCTAGGATAGACCCAAATAGAAATTGACACATTTGTGGTTCTGAGTGCCAGAGCAGTGAGTTGGGCTGCATTTCCTAGGCATTTGAATTGACTAATAACTTGGATTAGATTCTGCATACAGTTATTTTTTTAAGAACCTTAACTGCATGCGGTCATTCACCTCTTATTTCTGTTTTTCTAGTTTTGGTCCCAGAATAGGCCCAAACGGAAATATGCCACGTTCTTGTTTCGCCTTGCCCGGATGCATTATTTAAAGGTATCGGACTTGTAAAATGCATCAGATTCTGGATGCAATCATTTTGAAGAACAATAAGTGCGGCCATTCACCTCAAACATATTGTGTTCTTTGAAAGAAAAACCAATAATTACAGTTCATTATTTCCATTATCGGGTGGCGATTTTTTTTCTGCAGCATACATCGTGTTTTAACTAATCACATCACACACCCTAAAATATTTATCAAGCTGTGTGGATGGAAGACACTTAAGTTCTCGTAGTGTTTTCCCTTCAAACCTATCCCAACCAACAAAAAAACCAAAAATATTTGATGAAGACGGGCATGGGCTCGAACCACAGATCTTGCGTTTTATAGTTCACTCCACTATCCACAAGGCCACAGTCTGTGGCAGCTCGACGAAAGCTGTTTCTTAAAATGCTTTAATGTACATGCATGACTGAGCGATAGCAATAGTGTGACGCCATTGTTATTTTGTTATGTCAAATTAGGTTTTGCCCTTCACCGACGTATAAACACTGTATACTCGGTGTGTTACCTCCCGAGTGAAAGTTGGAAAAAATCACTCGGGTGGGACTCGAACCCACGACCTCCTGCAGGGGAAGTTAATGTGCTACTTTTTTCGGCATGGTTTTCCTATTTTTTTGTGGGGGGGGGGGGAATTCTCTTTTCCCAAACTACATCCATATCACAGACATATAAACGTTTATATGACTGTGATCCATATACATGGTGTTTGAGCGCCCTATACGATACTTATATGATACGTACGCAGGTATATTACCATTAAGTCCAAAACGCCATAGTGTACACCACATTCGTGTGTCGTTTGGAAAAAAAATCGAGGCCGTGGGGGGGGGGGGGTAGACCCCTCGCAATTACACCCCCAACCAAGATCCGCCACCGTCACACAATAACCGGTTGGTACATTGTACTACACGGCTAGATAGTAATACATGCAACTATCACAAAGGATATACACAAATATTTAAATACTTAGTACAGAAAAAAGTTACCGATTACATATTGATAATTTAGGAAAATGTTCAAAATCATACAGTTAAACAAGTTCATCAAGTTCATTTATATATTGCTAATATTAGGTAAACATTATTGCTGAATTGATGACTGAACTACTCCTCAAATTTATACATTGAATTCAGTTACTAATTGATTTAATTGACTGAATGCAGGACTCTGCAGTGGGCGTAAAACGTTGGGAATTAGGTTTAGGCACCAAATAATATGGAAAGGGACTCCTAATAAATGAGCTTAAAGTCGGGAAATTACCATTTGACACTAGTACAGTGAGGAAAAGCCAATATGGGAAGTGAAATTTTGTTTCCAGGTGAAGCATTTCTCCATTTCGTTTGTTCTGTCAAACATCTCTAAAACCTATTCCATCCCGTTTTATTATGTGTTGATGTTCGTTCACTGTAACACCACTGCAGGATTTTTCAATGCTATTTTCTCGAGAATCAGTTTTACAACTTCAAGTAAGTTGTACGTCTTTACTTCCGTTACTGTACTCAGTACCTATAAACGTTAAATACCATTGGAAAGCTGCAGAATCCAAATAGGCCTAAATACATATCTCGATCCTTACAAAGTCCGACTTTAAGCTCGTTTTGTGATGACAGGTCAACTATATGAAAGGAACCTGGTTTGGTCAAGGGCGGATCCAGAACACAATTTTGGAGGGAGCCAAAAAAAATTTGGTCCCCCCAAAAAGTTTGTCAAAAAAATTACGGCGTGGGGTTCGGGGCCCGCTTAAGGGCCCCGAAAATTTGTTGGATTCTAGATGCTCTGTGGTGCGATCTGAGGCAATTTCTGACCACTTTAACCAATGTTTTTTGAGGAAAAGATGGTGGTGTACTCATTGCCTGCCTTTATTGCGATGTCACATACAAAAAAAAAAAATTGGTTTCGTTTTTTTGGGGGGGGGGCATGGCCCCCTTTGGGCCCCCCCCCCCCCTGGATCCGCCCTTGGGTTTGGTTCAAAGATACGAAAAACCAATTCTACATATTCGTTCTGGCATTTACATGTCCACTACTTCGCTTGAAGGGGCTCCCGTGTAAGGAAACTTGTGTCGTTCAGAGATTAAAAACACAAGGGCATATACGCGATAGAAATATGTAACATTCGTCCATGGCATGACAGGCTAAATTACTCAAATTTTATTCCGATTGCTGAGTAACTAAATTATAGGCGCAGACATGTCAAACGGGACGCTTAGTTTTGGTTAAAAGATCAAAAATCGACAGTGCACTTTATACAAGCTCAAATCATTGCACATATTCGTCCATGACAGCTCCGTCAGATCATTTCTTCCTGTCAGTTACTGTCTAACCGGACGCTGAATAGTTGAGATGGACTTTTGTTCAAAGGTCAAGTTTAAAGTGTTTTTTTCTTCTTCATACGCGGAGAGAAGTCAAGCTCCCTGGCTTCGTGTTCATCTCTCTCTGTTCTTACTATCTTAAGGGAATAGTAGTGTGGAGGAGTAGTTGCGTCTGGATTAAAACCGGGTAGGGGCCTGCTCGCCGATAACGGCCCGATACCTTTGTGGTCAAAACTTAGAAGAAAATAAAAGTAGAAAAAATGACAAAATTCCGACGACGTGTTGTTCAAGCATTTTACGTTAATTTGAACGGATGGTGTGATTGCCCCCCCCCAAACATCCCCCATAATTAATATGTACAGTGCATGTAAAAGGCAAGAACACTTCTGCAAGCCGTCTAGTTGTGTTGTTTTGGAGCAAGAATTCCGACACGAATTTCGCCAAGCCGTGGTTTTCGCGACCAGTCTAGGCTATATTGCCGGCAACAAGACCGGCCAATCGTTGTTGTGTGTACAGGGTCAGGAAAAAAAGCGGAACCCAAACCCCCCAAAACGATATTTCATATTTAAAAAAATATGCAACACCAAAATAATAATGGTTTGAAAGCCAATTTCATAAGCTACTTTTAGACGATAAAATTACTGAAATTGCTCAATCCACTGCAATGACCCAAAACCTGTTTCGTAAAAAAAAAGCAATTGATTGTGTATTCTGACTGTTTGGAACAATAAAGAAACCGACTGTTTCAACAACTGTCAACAACTGTGGTACACAATATCTTTATTAACAACCCTGGTTATAGGCAAACAACATGATTTATAAAATCCATTTTTTTTTAAAGACGAGCCTTCAAAAGGGATTTTGTTGAATATTTTTAACTTTTAAGCTGAGGTTTTATCGCTGCTGATGTTTGAAGACGATTGTGACGACTATTCTTGAAATCGCATTTTTGGACGAAAGAGGTTTTCGGGTCATTGTCATTGACCACCGGGGCCAAACACGGACAATTTGAAGTGTGAAAGGTCCTTGTGATGACATCAATAAGTATAGCGCACGCGATGACTAATTACGGAACAGTCAGAAAATGCAATCATGATTTTATTTTCGGCCGTGCGACATTAATTTTCGAAACAGGAAGGGGGAGAGGTCATGATACGAAAATGGACACTCTCCACGTCAAGGTTTCAATGCACACATCACTGCAGAGTGCTTCAGATTCATAAGGTTCCGCGTTTTAGTCCCCCTAATTTCCGGCAGTTTCTACTTGTTAACTGTAAGTTAAATTCACATTTGCTTCGGACCTGTTACGTTTTCGTTTTCTTTACCAATGACAGTGACCCGCAAGTTTCTTTACCATTTTGAGGCAAATATAATTTTTGCCGAAGGTCACCGCTGGAAGCATGATGAGGACATTCTGAATTCGTTTAGCTTTTTGTCTAGATTTCCATTCGCTGTATAATTTTCAATAATTAATACCGACTACAATGGTTTTTTTGTTTGGACTGATTTTTTGTTTTCACTCGCACCAAGCTGACCCGAGCTGACGCCCGCGAGTCTGACGTCTATTACGCCTGACTCTGACACTGTTTTCCGGTCAAATTTCACTCCCTTTGTAGTGCAAGCAAAGCTACCGAGTAGTCCGGTGGGCGAATGAATCAAAACAGGCAACTATAAGAAAAACATAAATACGAGACAGAAAAAACACAACTGCAATATCAAATTCACCAGTTCAGATAATTAACTCCTAGGCTTTACCTTGGTGCCAGGAATAATAAATACCATTGTGCCTCAGCGGTCTTATATTCATTATGTTTGATGCCAAATAAATAGCATTCATAATGGTCGTTGTCCTTAAAGACGCAAAAATGGCCAGAATGATCAGATAGAGTTGCTGATGAAATCGAGTTTGTTTTTCACAGGGACGAAGCCCTTGCGCCCCACAACGAAAGCCTTATGCATATTCTAATCCGAAGCTCAAATATCATAAAAATGTCATGATTCTTTAATTTGGAATTTCCATAGCAACAATGACGTTTGTACTCGAGAACAAAGCAGGACAACACTGGATAAACGAAGAAACAATTGACAATTACGCTCATCCGCACTTCAGACAGACCTTGGTAGGCTAAACATTGTGGGGGAAAAAATCAGCCTAAAAACAAACCAAGCAGTAGGACGCGCCGGTTTGCATTCAATCTAACGACCTCTGAAAAGAGGGATACGACGATTTCGAGTGGACAAAATAATATGTGTGTAATTACAAAAGATGGGGGAAGGACAAAAAAACACAATTTATTCGACTGAATTAATTTCACCCTAATTGTCTTGTCCTCAGTCTCAGCCTGAAGAGTACATTTCTATATATATGACTTGAAGCTTTGCAGGGCAGGGCGGATGAAATCAAATAGAGGAAGTTTTCGGGAATCACCATGTGGAAAGAAATCTCTTCTTGGAAGAAGTGTGGTTCTGAAAAGAACCGGTTTGTTGAGTGTATAACTGGACGTTTCGGACAGTGTGCTCTGTCCGTCCTCAGGAGTGTGAGTACATTTCCACTTCTTGGAAGTACGACAGCAACGGTCCGTATTTGTCACTGATCGAACCATTTTAGGTATAGGTATGAGAGGGTGCTTTATAAGAATTGAACTTCGGGTTTTTTAGGTTTTTCTTTACCGCAGACAACCGTTTCCCCCCTAAAAACGGCATCGACGTGAAAGCTCATTTGCATGTAATGAATATTCATTTTGAGGTGGCATACCTTGGTTACGTTTGCGGCAACTCCTCTAAAAAGTACAATATATCTTTTCCAACCATTCGTAATCATACCTAAACAGTCACCAACGGCATGTGCATTTGCAAACAGTTTGTTTTAATTAGTATTAATACTAATTATAATATTGTGGTGCTTATTATTTTTATATAGCTCTTTATACCAAAGGTCTCTATAAGCGTTTCACAATCACTATCCCTGTTCATCAGGCCATCAGATCATGAAACCATTATTAGAATTTGAACTATTTCTTTTCTAGGTAAAAAAAAACTTAGCATAGTATTTCATACTTTTTTTCCATTCTTCTTTCATCACTATTTTCATTAATACACCTCAGAGTGGAAATAAAATGTTACTCAAGTTGTTTTACTGATAAACTCAATCTGGATGACCCGATTTTTCAAGAAAACAAGACAACAACACGAGAACACGAAAAGCAGGTGTTTCCCTACGTACATTAATTTTGTTTGCCAGTATTAAAAGACGAGCATATACGGAAAATCCGACTGCATGCTTGCGTCAACTGGTGGATTGAGCGTCCTTGCCCTATACCTCAAACAAAACAATAAAAAGAAATCGTGATCGTGAAGGATCTACGTCTGGACGGCCTTACCGCATTAGTAAGAGCCTACATGCCTGGGCGGGAGTTATCCAAACACAACCAACAATTTATCCCTTTGCATGCAGACAAGCGACAATCGAAATATGACATTTGAACAAGGTCCATGAGACTGAATTTTTGAATATAGCGCACAAAAAAATCCAGTAGTGCGGAGTTAAAAGCTGTAGCAATTACTGAGGTATACTTATTTATTAGATTTATTGTTAAATTGGTAATACCTTTATAATATTGAGTAATATTATTGCTATCGGAGATGTACGTGGCCTGGTTCTGAATTTTTTTTGTCTTAACTTAGATGTGTAAAGGAAAAGTATATACATAATGTATGGTGCCAATATACATAAATTTACAACTGGGGAAAAAGCCTGCAATCAGGCAATTGGGGGACTTACGTCACTATACTATTATTGTAATCTAACACCAAAATAATGGTTTATTTACTTCAAATTGTGAACTATTAAACACCACCGATGTGGTTGCATTTGAAAAGGAGCATACATGTACCTGCTTTCCATTGATACCTCACTTGCACCCGTGCAGTCACGGATAATGAAGCACCATTGATTTCAAAACACAAGGGTAAAACCCGTTTCTCCAAGTTGGGCTGATTCCGAGCAGTGAGAAGGCTGTCCAAACAATGCACTGTCACTGTGGAGTGATGAGTCAAAAAGGGAGTAGTCTTGGTCTTTGGATTTGAATTTGTATTCCCCTATTTCGCAGCCAGTCCCGTGATAAACCGGTGAAGTTGCCGCAGAGGTTGAGATCTCTATCAATAGGATGAAACAAATCCAGTCTTGGCAATATTGGCAGCGCTACCCAGGACATTCCGAGCATACCTCATGCGCATGCATTAGCTTGAATACAGCGCGCGTGAGGTATGCTCGGAATGTCCTGGGTAGCGCTGCCAATATTGCCAAGACAGGATTTGATTCATCTTTTTGATAGCGACCTCACTTGTCACGGACAGGCTTTATACGGGGAATACAAACAAATGCAGTCTTGAACCAAGACTAGAAAGGGAGGCGCACACATCCGTATTCGCATTGTTTTGCCAGCTCACTCTTAGTCAGTCCAACTTGGATAACAAATGGTTTTACCTGCTCTTTTGACATCAATGGTGCTTTGTTTTCCTTACTGCAGTACAATTAGCAAATCAACCACACTTTCAGATGCAAGCACACTGATGTTGTCCAAGTCCACAATTTTAACACGGTGATGCGTGATGTTAGGATTACCTTGCCCCCTGTATTCATATAGCGTGATTCTGAGATTACCTTTTTTAGGTAAACCCACATATTGTTTAATTGTGCAGGTATAGTTGTGCCAAGTTGACTTCCATATATTATATTCTTAATCAGTAATGTTGTTCGCATAACAACTTACGCTAGGATGACTTCTCAGCTCTGTCCTGTCGTTTTGGAAAGAAGTTTTGACTTATTTTTTTTTTTTAGTAAAATGGAAGATACAAAGGGATACAAAATGTAATATCTTGCTGTAAAGCTTCAATGCAATAATCGAACGCTTTAGGCGCAAGTTGGTGATCGGACCTTCTAAGACATTAAAGCTGCGGTCTTTTTAACATGGAACTGAAAATCCCTCACGGGGTGTTTCTTAGACTTGCATGCAATTGACAAAGGATTTACATCCTGTCCCATGACATTCGTACATATTATTGATCGTTGAAACTGAGCGAGAAGAGTGGATACAATGAATGTCGGGACGGCGCGCACAATCATGTTTTTAAAATACATTCTATAGCCTCGTGGGGTAAGGAGAACACGTGGCAACAAGAAGGGAAATGGAACCCAGCAGGTCAGCCTTTAGAAATATCAGTACGTCACAACTGAAACACTAGGGGGTTGAGATTTCAATAGGAACAAAGAACAAAGTATAGGGAAATCGAGGTTCACCATAGGGATAATTCAAGTGCCATTGAAGTGTCACTAAAAATGACTTCAAATTTGTTCTTCTTTTTTTGGGGGGGGGGGTGGGGGGCTTGTTTTCTTCACACAATCACTCTTGCAGGAAGAATGCATTAAGGAGTGCATTCAGAATTACAAAATCATAGATGTAGATCCCAAATTTATAGGTTTAAAAATTCTCTTATCCCATGGTGCCTATTTAATCAGTAGCTTTTTCATCAGTAGCTTCGTCGAATGAATTTTTAAAAGATAATTGCAGTTAATTTTAGGTGTTTTTCCCCCTGAAAAACAACCCTTTTTTAATGCAATCTACTTTGTAGATCTGCTTGTTTCCTTATGTTTTGCTTGGGATCATTGTTTGTGGTATTTTGTATCTGTTAATTTGTGTGTGTGAATTTTAAGCTGTTATAATTATATGTACAATATGTGTATATGTAATCAAAACCCGCACAGATAGGTCTGAAAATTCTCATATCCCATTGTACCTTTTTAATCAGTAGCTTTTTATCAGCAGCTTCGTTAAATGAGTTTCTAAGATAATTGCACTTAAAAAAAAATGTATCCTGAAAACAACCGGTAGTTTTTAACGCAATCTCTTTTTTTTTGATCTGCTTGTTACTTTTTGTTTTAGCTTGGGATCATTGATTGTGGTATTTTGCATCTGTTAATTTCTGTATGTGTATATTAAGCTATGTAAAATATTGCCAATAAATATATTATCCTAATCCTATAGAATGACCCACAATGTGTGCTTTTGGTCATGAGATTAGACGACCAAAACACTGATATCAAGTTAAGATCACCAAAACACCGTTACCAAAGAAACTGACACAACACTGACACAAGTTGGTAAGACTGACCGCAATTAAAGACGGGTTTCATTCTTATGACGCTTTTTTGTTCGACATCAAACTTAGATCATCGAGCGCGTGCGCACTGTAAACCAGTCCCTGGTATGAAATGGGTCGAATCCGGAACCGGGTCATTGAAAATTGAACTAAGGCAGTTTCTGAATTACTTGGCTATACGGCTTGAAATTACACAGGTGTCAATGGTAGCCGCTGCAGCCTCTTCCCACAGACCCGTGTGTAATTTCAAGCGTTTTGAAAAGTGCAACATTTGAAGCCGTACCGGTCTTCGACAGAGCCTGTCGAACTAGAGGCCAGCAAAAAGCCTAGCACATGCTATATTAAGGGAATAAATGTGTGCTCTGGAGGTTTTTATCACTCTGTTTAAGACCACTTAGAGTCTGGGTGCTGATAATTACCCTCGCCTCCGGCTCGGGTAATTATCAGCACCCAGACTCTAAGTGGTCTTAAACAGAGTGATAAATACCGACGGAGCACATATTTACTCCCATTCATAAATACCTTTTCGGTAAGAAAAAATCATATAATTCGTTCAAAACATCCCGATTTTGTTCAACAAATTCACTTTATGCTTTTCGAAACATCCCTCTTGCAAAATAATGGAGTGTTCAGCTGGCGAGTAAGATGTAAACAACCCTTTTATGGAGATTGACGCGCGCGTATCATGTTCTGCGCGATGTCGCGCAGAACGCACCTGGCGCGTTGCGTTTTGAATTTAGAACTATAAAATTCTGACTCCCTGGTAGTGTTGCGCATGCCTACGTGAGGATTGTGAACGTTCAACCAATGAAACGATAAGAGGCACTGGATTTTTAGGAGTCCACATTTTATTGTGACACTGGAAAAGTGTTTAAGACCAGCTAGCCATGTCTTTATCATCCGTTTAAGACCGGCCACGTGACGGGCTCTCGACCAATAGGAATAGCTAAACTGTCTGAGGTATTTGTGAATATGCATTAAAACATTATGCTGATTCCACGTTCACGTTATCTGCCAATTCAAGCGCAATTTTGAGATGCAACGGCAACCACGGCGCTTCAAATTCGTCTGAAGTTGAACAGGTTTTGCCGACGCTGTCAAAATAGTTAAATGAAATAATACAATTAAATGGTGCAATAAACTCTCCTTTCTCACCGACCAATCATACATGGAAGCTGTGATTTTTTTGTGATAATTTTACTCATTTTAAATGATAATTTTATATTAAATTCTTTGGTTTACATGAACATTAATGTTAGGATTTTTTCGTTTGTTTTTAAAACTGCTATCGATTTTCTGAATGTTAAATACTCTCGATTTTTGAAATGCACTTCTGAACATTTTAAAATGAAATTTGAGCGAAGTAAATTAATGTATCAGTGATTTTTTTTATCACGCTGACCCATTTTACAGGTCTTCAATATCGGGCCGTGTCTCACCACTCATTCTCTTTGAAAATAACTGCACCGTTTAAGAAAACATTAGATAAATAAATGTGTTATCAACGTCGAACTGGTTTCCGCCGTGACACAATGCACACTCACATTATTACGACTGACACAAAAACGTCTAAAGAAACTAGATGTTTGCTTATACCAAGAGATGAAAGACCGGTATAGGTTGAAATATTAATAGAATGAGTCGCTTGGTCTATATTTGGCTAGCCATGCGGAAAACTAATAACTCGATAATTACTCCACAATATCTAATAGAGAGTTTGGCTAGTCTATTTTGGTCAAGAGCATGAAAAGAGACAGGCAGATTGGTATGAACCTTGTAGAAAATACCTCCAAAGAACATCCTCGTGGAGTATAACTGGAGGCTATATGCTGCGTAATCCTCGTGTCCACTGCGTTGAAGATAATGTTCCTTATATAAGCTCACGTCTTGTGCTTTTGCTAGCGACACATTTTTTTTTTAAATCCAAGATATATATTTTTGACAGGAATATGATGTGGCTTTGAAGCTAGACAGAAGACATGAGATCATGTAATGAATTTTATTGCTTCCATCTTTCTATTTTCTTTTTCAATAACAAAATTAAACATCTGTCATCATAAAATGTTCAATTCCCATAAAAAAAAGTTATTGTTTTATACATGTACTGCCATTACAGACTGTATGTCTTTGATCGGCTGACAAAGGCCATCAAATGAAATTCATGCGTTTTAAACAAATTCCATGTATACAAAGTGTGCAAAAAAAGGGCAACATTCAGAAAACAAATAATTCAAACTGTTCAATGTTTTTCTTCAATTAATCAATCCACTCCTTTTTACCCCATTCCGTTTGGGCCCCTAGATCCAGAAATACAGAAATTTAAGTGAAAGGATGTATATTCTACTTTGGCTACTCTCACCTGGACAAGCTGAATCTGGGTTAAGCATGGAATAGGCATTGAAGTTCGTGACATCACAGGTGAGAGACTGACATTTATTCCCTTTCACTTAATTGATTGTATTTCTGGATCTAGGGACCCAAATGGAATAGGGTTGAAAGGAGTGGATTGAGATATAGTCAGGCTGTAATGTAATATATAATTTCATTTAAAAAAAATTAAACAGTTTAATTCTGAGTTTCTGAAAGTTGCCTTTTTTTCGCACACTCCGTAGAAGAACTTGAACTGTGTATTTGTACGGAAACGCTGCAATTACATTCTGCGTTCTTAACGATTTCTTGAAATTAAGCTAATGCTGTGTAGGATTAAGGAGCGTAGCCCTCCTAACTACGTCGAAATTATTAACTAAATATGGGCCGGTTTCTTGGGCGATGTCCGATTTGAAATCTCAATTTTATCTGATTAAAAACATTTAAATTACTTACTGACTTGGTTACACCTTGAGAAATCTAATTTCTCAAGGTGTAACCCAGTCATTTT